ACCATGGTTGACTACATGGGAGTCCACCAACAACCATTACACCATCTGCTGGTCCCCACAGTAAGAGTATTTTACTAAGTCAATAGGGAATATATATTTTTATTAACCTAAGTTTAACATGTGTCTTTCATTTCTATCAGTGAATAAATTTGTGTTTACTTGTTCAACAAGGTCTTTTTAGCCTGTTCTCCCATAAGGAGGCTTTCTTTAATCTGTAGAGAGCTTTACATAAAGGTATCTTAGAACAAGCAACACCATTTCTCTGACGTACTTCATTCACCTTCTCTTTCAGCTATAATTTTAGAAACATCTGTATTTGTTCAGGATTAAGAAAATGAATTCATTTTCGGTAAGTTGTTTACTGATTTCCCCACTTGTTTTACATTGTATTTAGGAATTTTATGAGAGTTCATAAATTAAAATGGAAGAGTAAAAATAAATAAACTTTATCATGAGAAATGCATAAACAAGCAAGATAAAATTGACATGGTGAAATAGGCAGATTATAAGACCTTAGGAGCCCTTTAATCTTTCTGATACCATGGGAAAAATGCATTTATTACATAGTTTGTATGGAATCTAAGGGGAGAGCATGCTAAATTCTCAAGAGATATGAATCACAAGATGTCTTTATTCATCACATAGATGACAAGGTAGACAGATTTTCACAATTAACCTAGAAATGAGCACACAATGTTCTACAGTGATGAGTGATACCAGTTGCTAAAACACAAACCAGTCAGTAGCTTTTCCTAGAGTTGCTAATATAGCATGGTCCCAGACAACTCTTACAAGTACCCACTTGATGCATAGTTTAAACCTGGAATATGTGACCGGAATGTACTACAGGTTCCTAAAGAACTCTCCATAAATTTCTCTCAGCTAATGTGTATGTGCTGATGATGCCACAGACTGTCCAAAGTTACATTTCCTGACCAATATAGTAATGCACTGCATAGCAGTATTTCAGTGATGTGCTATATGTATGAATGTGGTTCAAGAAGATTATAATGAAGCCCCCAAATTTCTGTTACCTAACATGGTTGTCATTACCTTGTTGACTAACACAATACCCACCCCACATGTTTGTGATAATGCTGGTGTAAAGAAACCTACTATACTGCCAGTTGCATGTAAGTATGCACAAATAATTATGGTCAGTAAATATGTACACTTAGAAAGGTAAATAAAAATAAATATAATTATACACATATTTCCATTTTGAAATCATTTCTGGTTTACAAGTAATCATTGCAGTGTCATTATCTCTCTATTCTGCTTTTGTTTCCTTTGCTGTGCTGAAATATTTTATTTTATGTAATCAAGTTTCTTTATTTTTGGTGGTTTTGTCCATGCCTCATGGGTCTTATTTAAATAGTCTTCACCCACACCAATATGTTGTTGTCCTACATTTTTCTTAATAGTTTATTTTATAGATTTGGCCATTATATTGAAGTCTTCAATCCATTTTGAGTTAAATTGTAACTGGTAAGAGATGATCTAGTTTCACTCGAATCTTGGTGGATATTGAGTTCTCCCAGAACCATTTATTGAAAACTCTTTTATTCCACAGGCTTGATCTGTGGCCTTTGTTGAAAATCAGTTGGCTCTACGTTATGGTTTTTTTGTTTGTTCGTTTTTTTGTTTTTCTGTTTATTCAGTTGGCCTGTATGTCTGTGTTTGTGTCAGTACTATGCTATTTTGGTGATTATGGATTTACAATATATTTTGGAGTCAGGAAGTAAGATGCCTCCAACTTTATTCCTTTTGTACAGTATTGGTCTGATTATATGGGTCTTTTGTAATTCTGCATAAATTTTATAATCATTTCTGTGTAGAATGTTGCTGGTTTTTTTTAGTAGGAATTGCAATGAATTTGTAGATCACTGTGGCATAGTATTGGCATAGCACCTATGTTGATTCTTCAAATTCATGAAGAAGACCGCCTTCTTGGTTTTCGCCTATTTTTAAAGTAACTTACTCAGCTTTTATAATTTTTTTCATAGAGGGCTTTCACTTTCTTGGTGAGTTTTCTTTCCAATAGTATTTGTGGTTATTGTGAATGGGATTGCCTTCATTTCTCTCTCAGCTTATTCATGGCTAGTGTAAAAAAATGCTAGATATTTTTAATTACCCACAGGCTTATTTATGTACTTGCTAGAGAGAGTGACAGAGAGATGGAGATTCAGTAAGAGAGAGAAAGCACCTTAAAATGAAGCATAAAATGGCCAATTATGGGCTATAAACCTACCTGAGAATTATCTTCTGGACTAAACTGACATAGCCAGAGTCCTTAGGAGATGTTGCAATCCCTTTCCTACAATTCTCCTTCCCATCAGAATCTTGGACACATGCACACATACACGCATAAACACACTCAATGTATTTCCCAAGCCATCAGGGCCTTGGACTCAAACCACAGGCGGTTATATGGGATCTGGCTCCCTACACATAGTATTTAACCACTGTGCTATGGGAGTAGCCTACTGCAGATTTTTGTATGCTGGATCTGTGTCCTGCAACTTTACTGCATTCGTGTATTTCACCTAAGAGGTATTTGGTGGATTCTTTAGTTTTTTCTATAATACTGTGTTGTAGAAAAACAGAAAAATGCATCATGACTTTTCTGATGAACCATTATATAATCATGTCATCCACAAATTGGGGCAACTTAATATTTTCCTTTTCAATTTCTATGCCTTTTATTTAGTTCTTTTATCTGTTTTATCTAGTACTTCCAGTATCTATGTTGAACTGGAGAGAAGAAAGTGAATGTCTCTGTCTTGTTCTGGTTTGAAGTTGAAAAAGTTTCCACTTTTTCCCATTCAATATTATGTTAGCTGCAGGAATGTCATATGTGACCTTTATTTGGTTATGAAATGTACTTCTTATGCCTATTTTGTTGAGTCTTAATCATAAGAGACTATTATATTTTATATAATGCTTTTTATGTGTCAATTAATATGATCATATAATTTTTCTCATTTCTTCTCTTAATGTGATCTATTATATTTATTGTTTTATACCTGTTGAATCATCCTTATATTCCAGGAATAAATCCTACCTGGTCATTATGTATAATATTTTTAGAATGTTGTTGGATTGGTTTTAGTCATGAGATATAGCCCTATTTTATGCTTACATAGACATGTGCTTCTTTTGGTCTTCCTTGAATCTTTTTTGTACTTTCATACAAGTCTCTGGTTTCATTTTCTTTAATCCTGGGGAAGTTATTTATTATTTTTTTTTTCAGTGTAGATCTCCTGGTGATAAGTTATCTTAACTTCTTTTTAATTCCCAGATATCTTTGTTTTATGTAATTTTTTTGCTTAAGGGAATACTTGCTCACTAGAGACAGAGAGAAGGAAAGGAGAAAGCATCCCTCAGAACCAACTTCCAATAAGCCTTTTTCTATTCTTCCTGGGTGGTATTGGCTTTGACCCCTAATACATCATAGTAAGTGATTCTTTTACCCCTTCCTACTGCCAGTGAGTGGGCTGAAGCTAGTGTAGGAGTACTTAGCTGTTGACAGCTCAGGCAGCCATTTCTTCTCTAATTCTCAGTAAGGATTTTAGAAAGTTCCTTAATACTCATTTTATAAAATTTATTTTACTACCAGCAGTCCTCATTTGTAACATTTGTATATCTCTTTTAAGTCCATACATTTAAACTATGCAATAGTTTAACTTTCTTGTCTGCTACTTGAAATATCTGTCTTATTTGAGTGATTTTATTTCTGAAATACGGGTCACATTTTTTAATTTTACTAAATACGAATTCTAAATTCTACCCTGGATATTGTAAATTATACATCATAGAACTTGTGAATACTGTTACATATCTCAAAAGATTAAATTTTATTCTACAAGTTGGTTAACTGGCTAGATTCAAGTTCCAAATTCTAAATCCCTTACAGTGATGTGGAGTTGATTCTCCATTTCTTTCAGTTTCTAATAGCTGCTTTTTTATAGGTCCCTCTGAGCTCTGTATATGTTCACCAGCAGTTTCGATGAGTTTTACATGCAAATCCTGAGGATTGTATTTTTTGACTTCCTCTATTCTAGGACTTATGACCTTCTCCCCAACTTTTTGGTTGTCTGTTCAGCCCTGAACATTATGTTTTGATAGCCTGAGCCAGTAAAGGTGCAGCTTTTACTTCCTTGATCTGTATGCAAACTGGAGAGTTCTCTGTGGTAAAATTATAAAAGTTTACAGACATATATACACACATGTGTGTATATGTCTGTGTGTGTGTGTGTGTGTGTGTGTATGTATTCATTTTTAAAGAGTGTTCTTTTGGCTAAGCCCTTTGCCATTATTTCATGTGCCTTGTTACTTTTAGGTTATTCATATGATAATATCTCTTTTCTCCTAGTAATTAATTCCTTCTGTCTGTATTATAGCTTCATTTTCTTTACCCTGGACTGTTTCAAATTTTGTAAGTCTAGTATTTTTTACTACATGAATAAAATCTGTTTTCCATGAGCATCATTTATAATTGATACCAAATAAGTAAAAGTAAAGTAATGCAACATGATAGATTTTTATTGATTGATTGATTGATTTTTTTTGAGAGGTTTTTGCTATAGGGCGTGTGCACTTGCCAGACAAACAGAGAGAGACAAAGAGATAGAAAGCGAGAAATCACCCCCTCGGGGGGTTGCCCACGCTGCAATCCCTTCTCCTCCATTATCCTCTCGGGATCTTGGGCATGCATGCACACACGCCTGGCGTGAGTTTTAAGCCACCGGGTCCGGGACGCGAACCGTGGTTGACTACGTGGGAGTCCAGCGACATAGCCATTATGCTAACTGCTGGTCCCCCTGCAACGTGATAGATTTAATGTACTTTCTTTTATATATGGTCCATGAACTTTTTGTTACCTTAAGGGTAATATTTTTGACATGGTTGTCTATGGTTCACAGTATTCACAGTTGACTTTTAATGTACCTTCAAACATTTACATTATACCATTTTGTATACAAGAATTCTGTAATAGTGTACTTGCACTTTTCTCTTAGTTTCTCTACCATGTCATCATGCATTTTACTTGTATATACTTTAAACTCAATATGTGGCTTTCACTTTCCTATATATCCACACACTCAGCTTTAACCACATGACTTGAGATCTATAATCAGCGATTACTTTGTAAGAACAGATTATCCATCTAGTCCATAGCTATATTTTGCTTTAAATGGCTAATGCCTTTTTTTTCTTTTAAAGAATGATTTACTTAACTTTATTTATTATTATTTTAATTTGCTATAGGAGACTCACACTCACATGCAGGGTGGAGGATAGAGTGAGAAAGCAAGCCAGGAGGTCTGAAACTCAAATAATGTTCAG